CCTGTAAATGAGTGAAAACTGCAGAGTTCTGGCCATTAGATGTAGCTCGTCTGTGTTGGGACATTCTTTTGAACAGTGGCTGTTTTGTTGCAGAAATAGAGCACATAAAAAGCAGGTTGTTACCAAAGTGAAATCCGAAAATGTGAATAAAAATAACAAAAAAATGAATTTAAAAGCATAAGAAAAATAACAAAACAAGAGTACAGAACAAAAAAATACCCCCTCCCCTCAACAAAAAACCTCACCTGATTAAAAGTTGTGAGAACAGACGTGTTTTAAGGACAGTTTTAAAAACAGGAAGTGATGAGGCCTGTTTAACGTCGGAGGGCAGATGGCTCCAACAGTTGGGATCCACGACTGGAAAGCCCTGATCTCTTCTGAGCTTCATCATGGTTTTCAGGATGACCAAAGGCAGCTAGTCAGAAGATCTCGGTGGTTGAAGTAGCTAGATCAGAGAGATAGTAGGGAGCAAGGGCATGTTAGGTTTTATAGATGAGCAGGAGAATTCATCTGGTAACACACAGTGCACCAGTGAAAGGGGGATAGTACCAAGGAAATATTCTCAAACTTATGACTTCCTGTTATGAGCCAAGCTGCAGCGTTCTGGATGAGTGAAAGGGAGACCTGACTGATAGAAAGTGAGTTAAATAATAATTTCATTTTACACTTGGTGACCCCTGAGTATTCAAAAATTTCCACTTGTTTATTTAGCTCACTGTTCTTACATTAGCTAATCGTTACTAAATGTTAAATTTAATGTTAAAGATATATAACACTGCATTTAATATGTAAATCTAAATGTAAAAGTTAAATGTTAAACGTCAAGGTTTACATTTATGTGAATCAGAATGGAACGCAGCCTTTGCGGTTGGTGCTCGGCTCTTGTTGTGACATCATCATCCTGAGACAACAACCGCTAATTACGCAGCTAAAGACATCGAACTCGGAGTTGAGGCTGGTGTCTGAGCTGCACTTCAAACTGCTTGACCTCAGGTACCACTCATGTTATTTTCAATGAGCACATTTTGAAGTAAAACTTGAAATAATATCCTCAGCAGCATTAGCAGCGGTTAGCTAA